ATGAACAGACGCACGAGCCCACTGCAGGTACTTTTGTGCAACCACCACAAAAAACTATTCCACCTCCAACTCTAGTATGTTAAGGGGTTGCAGAAGACGAATTTTGATAGTGATTAGTTTGGAAATCAAATGAAAGAGCACCAGAAATTGCATAACAGACACACCAGACCAGTAGGAAGGCAGCGCGAAAAACAAAAATCGTTGATTCTCGCAAAGGACGGCAGTAGAGGCTGCTCAAGTCAGAAGTACATTTCACGCGCCTACCTCCACACGCCTCCTTTGAAATCAAGATGAAAATTCACAACATTCTGAATTCTAGTCAAAAGAGCCAAAACGGGAGGCGTTCAATCAAGGTCAATTTTGAGTGTTTGGTGTCGCACTCTATTTTCATCAGAGTAGAGGACATCATGAAGATGAGTCGTGCGTGCTGGCACGTTCAGGTTTGCTACTGGAGCTGAAATTCGAAGGTCGCAGAAGCCTCTGAAAACTGTTCGAAGTCTGCGCCGGAACCAAGCGGCATCCAATATTTGTCACAGTAGTGCTCGCCGCCACCGACTCCAATCCACTGAACTGCGGGTTTACAGCAGTAGCTGATGCCACTGTAGCTACTGCTGACGACCCGAGGTTCAGGGGTTAAGTGCCCGTGGCGGTGAGCATGGCTGTGACGAATGTTGGATGCCGCTTGGTTCTGTTTCGGACGGTTTTCAGAGGCTGCTGCGACCTTCGCTATTTCAGCTCCAGCAGCAAACCTGAACGTATCAGCACGCACGACGCCTCTTCATGATGTCCTCTATTGATGACCACAGAACGCGACACCTAACCCTGGCGGGAAGGTTGTTTTCTATCTTTGTAATGGATTGAAGTATGGGAAAAAGAGCCAACGTCACAACCTCTTTTCTGCACCCCCTTAAACGATTTTGAAATTAGTCGCAAGAACACCAGTAAATGCACACGAGCTACTCAAGACTAGTCGGAAGGCATCGGGAAAACAGAAATCGTTGACTCTTGCATAGGGCGGCAGTAAAGGTTAGGCTGTTACGTACATTTCATGCAGTCTACCTCCACACAGCTCCAAACAGCGGGTATGACCCGGGCTCCTTTCTCATACTTTAATCCAACATATAGAAGACAACCTTCCCGGCGGAGAACATGGTACTTGGTACTAAAATCAGTAGAGGACACCATGGAGAGGCGTCGTGCGTACTGGCACGTTCAGGTTTGCTACTGGAGCTGCAATATCGAAGGTCGCAGCAGTCCCTGAAAACAGTCCGAAATCTGTGCCTAAACCAAGCGGCATCAAACATTTTGTCACAGCCGTGCTCACCGCCACGGACCGTAAACCCATGAACGGAGGTTGTCAGCAGCAGCTAGTGACACCACCTACTGTTGCAAACCCGCACTTCAGGAGATTGGAGTCAGTGGCGGCGAGCACAAACAGTACAAGACACGGGGTGTCGGTCTAATTTGTGGAGATTTGCGGAGATGTATGCCACTACTATTAATACTACTACTTGAAGTATTACAGTACGACCCTCGATACCACCACCACCACCACCACAGAAGCAGATCCGAGCGCGCCAACACGCACCCCCCCGCTGCAATAGGATGTCCTCTAGTGATACTAGTACTATGCGCCAGGTTCCTAGCAAAACAGACCTTATTTGAGCGCCGGCCGTTTTGGCTCTTTGACTTGAATTTACGATGGTGTGAATTTTTAACTTGGTTTCAGAGGAGACATGTGGAGGTGGACGCGTGATATTTATGTTATGAGCAGCTTCTACTGCCGCCCCGTGCGAAAGTCAACGATTTCTCGTTTGTGTGATGCCTTCCGACTGGTTTTCTTGTGTGTCTCTTGTGCATTCTGGTGCTCTTGCGTTCGTCTTCAAAATTGTCAAAATCACAATTCTACTTGTTGTTCTGGAAGCCGTAAAATTACGATAAAAATGGTCACGACTGTAAAAATCCATGTCGCAAGAGACAGACGGCGGGCGCTCAAATATTAGTCAGCATGGGTTTCAAATCGCCCCTGACCACTTAAATCAATAAAGGACACCATGAAGAGGCGTCATGTGTGCTGGCACGTTCAGGTTTGCTGCTAGAGCTGAAATATCGAAGGTTGTAGTAGCGCGGCCTACAATTTCCTCAAATTTGACCAGATTCAACCGACGTCTGGTGTCTTGTACTGCTTGTACTCGCCGCCACTGACCCGAATCTCCTGAACTGCGGGTATGCTGCAGTAGCTGATGCCACTAACTACTGCTGACGACCCGCCGTTCAGGGGTTTACGGTCCGTGGTGGCAGTACAAGACGCAGGGTGTCGGTGTAGTTTGGTCAATTTTGCGGAAATTGAAGGCCACTACCAAGACCTTCGATATTTCAGCTTCATCAGCAAACCTGAACCCGCCAGCACACACGACGCTTTTCCACGGTGTCCTCTACTGATTTAAGTGATCGGGGGCGATTAGACACGGCAGGAAGGTTGGTCTTTCGGTGTATTGAATCAACCGCTTTGGCCCTAGATTCCGTTTTGGCGTCAATAATTTTTCCCACCACTACCGCAGAAAAAAAAACAGACAAGCACAGAAAATGACCGCAGTGTGTTGCAGCAGTTATCTCCACCTACAAGGCCATGCGGGCAGTCCGCAACAAGGGGGTGGCCACATGAGAGTGATAGAAGGGGTGAAGGGGTAGACCTTGAAATGACCAGTCGTCTAGCTGCCTCAACAACTCTATTTTCAGTATATGCCGATGATGATCAATCAAATGATGCATCGAGGGCCATAGCTGGTATTTGTACTCTTGTACTTCTCTGTCCACCCCGTTCATGTGAGCCCTGCCGGCTCACTAGAGCTCCTGTTTTTTCCCACAGTCAGACAAGCACACCAGCACACACCTACGGAGCGGCTTCCTAGGTTCGGGCGAGGGTATGTGGGGAGCTGTGATGTGCATGCACATGTCGTCTGTTATTTGTTTGGCTCGTCTACACTGCTGCTGTTGTGTAGTGTGGCAGCTGACGCGATGTCTGCTGGATCTTTGGAATGTATGTGCGATTGTACCAAGATTGATGATGCAGCATACCGCGATATCGTGGCTCCGGCTGGCCTTGAAATTCCCCTTTTGTCGCAGCCCTCCGCTCTTTGGACCAGTGGTTGCCTAGGTTCGAGCGAGGGTACGCGTGGTGCTGCTATGTGTGTCTCAGTCGAATATTATGTATTGTAGAGAGATAGTTTTGACATTCGCATTTTGCGTGTAGCGCTAACATGCATTTTGGCCCACTTCCCGAGACCTACCTACAGGTCGGCTTTTTACCCGCTGGGACTGACGCCTTTTCAGTGGTCAGCCGGTTAGCGCGGTCGATACAAAGATCAAAGACACCCCCATGGACTTCCCAACACCAGGCGTGGAGGGCTTCAGAAGGCGGGAGCTCCACGGCTTGCCGCCTCACCAGAATTTGCATGTGATCAATCAATGATCAGTCAGATGCCTGCAGGCCCAAAATGGAATAGAGCCAGCGTCAGGAGGGGTCTGGCATCCGTCTCTTAGGAGAGTTGATGAAGAGAAAATCGGATTTTGGAGAGAGATTTTTCGGCTTGGTACGGCCATGTTCGATAAATAGGAGACAAATTGTCTTTTTTCTTGTCGTATTCTCTGAAATTGAACCCCTGACGGAGAAGAGCCGCACATTGTACATGCCCCAAGCCGCAGACATAATGTGCTGGTCAGCGGGCATCCGCTACTTGAGCGTCCCCGATCATGTTCCAGTCCACCAGACGTGACGACGCACCTAAGCAGGGTATGCCGAAGCCAACTCCACGGGTTTCGTGGCGTGGTCAAACGCATGGCGACAATGACGAGATGCACCGTGTCTGCGACAGCTTTGTGCGCTCCCGATCCCGGCCTCAGCATTATCTCCAGCCTCTGTGCCATGTTAGATGAAGGTGTTCTTGAACGTCTGTTTTTCTGTGCTCGACCCGTACTCGCTCATCCAAGCTATACGCACGCGGCTTGTTCTTACAAGAATGGCAGGACACGTTGTGCGTGCCGCATTTTATGTCCGGAAATGTCCTCGAGATCGCAATATAGTTATAGTTCTGCCCCGAATACGATGGCGGACGCACGACTGCTGCCCCGGTGGACTCGTCCGTTTGGCTTTGGCCTTGTTCAGACTGGCCGGGCTCGTCGTCTGAATCTGAATCTGAGACTAGACCCATGATATACAGTTGTCTGTCTTTTGTACGTGAGTTGTCATCGAGCTTGCTTTTCTTTTTTGTTTTACGTATGTCCAGCCCAAACACAACAAGGCCCTGACGCAGCTGTAGGGTGTTTAATATGATTCCCGGATTCGTCATCAGCATCTTCATATGGCAGTATAGGACAAGTTGTGCTCTTAAACGGGCTTGATCTGTTTGGCTAGGCAAGGTTTGAAAGCATCTCTCTCACAGCGGTGTATGAGTGATCCCGATTTAAGAGTGTTTTAGCTGTCGCGACTCTCTCTGAAGCCATGGCCACCACGATCCGGCGATCTGTACAATACATACATATGCATCTCCATATGACGCAGCCCCACAACTCACCCAACCAGACAATGGAAATCAGTGAAAACGCGTAAATCGCGAGTGTCGAGTTTGAAAGCTTCACTTGATACTAGTGTTGACTTTTACTGTTGCCAACTTGGTGCCCGAGGGCGGCAGGTGGCGCACCTCCGGGCGGGCGGGGAGCCGGTCGGAGGAGGCTCGAGAGTAGCCAAGAATACCGAAGTTGTAACGAAGGAAGGAAGGTAGGCATGCTGTCACTGCCGCTATCGATACGCCGCGTCCGGCCTTGGGCCGCTGCGGCCAAAAAGTCGCCGAAGGTGAACAAGTGCACAATTTCACACATGAGTTCCAAGGGATCCCAACCAGCACGCGCAGCAGCGGCGACGAGAGATGCTCCGGCGAAGGTTGGGGTTTACACGGGTGGGAAGGAGATGCCCTTCACGTCGGTTCTTCGAATCGAGGATCCCGACAAACTCCCGGTGAGATATGCATACCAGCCGGTGCAAGTCGCCATCGCGCCAGCGAACACGCCTATTTTGTTTATTTTGTCGATTGCGTGCGAGAGAAGACCTTGCACTCCTCCATCCTGTTCTTGTGTGTGATTTTCGGCGGTTTTGGTTATTTTGGCCGTTGTCGTGCTACCACTGCGGCAAGCTACAAAGTATCCTCCCTTTCCTATGCCACAGCGAATCTGGTAATCAGTTGTCTCCGGCTGCTATGTTATTCATTTGTAACGAACGCTCCGGAGGAAGGTTTGGCCGGTGTTTCGTGTTCTGGACGAAAACGGCAGTGTGCGCGCCGATGCGGTAGAACCGAAGCTCGGCAAGGAAACGGCGTTGAAGATGTACGGCAACATGGTCCGCCTGGAAGCTATGGATGACATATTCTACAACGCGCAGAGACAAGTAAGCATCTATCAGCGCCTGTAGGCTATTGTTCGTGCACGAGGTACCGTAATTCGCCCTTGGTTGGAGGAGTTGCTGGAAATGCAAGCGTCTGTACCGTGCGGCTTGGGAGGCCATCTCGCCGCACTTGGCTTGACGTCACCCTCGGATGTACAACGGACAACTTAGGGTGCCCTGAAAACTACGCTGACCACGATGCATTGCGTGCCCGCACTCGACGGCACTCTGGGACACGCTGTCTTGGGCTTGAAACACCAGCTTCGGTCTGCGTGTGTCGTCTCTCTGCGCGAATTTCGACTGTCTGGGGAGTTTACTCGCGTGATGAAGCCGCATCACGCACGCCGATTGAACCTCTCTACCTTGAAAACGCTCGGAACACACGGGTGGGCGTGGGTATTGCTGCCCTTATAGTTGACATTCCCACCGCGGGGCTGCGCATCGTTTCAGAAGGAACGGTACACAGTACAATCGTGTCCATCAGGGTTGCCACTGATTGGAGGCCGTTCCATCCCCATGAACAGAGACAATGTACATGTTTTTATTCGCATGTTTTTCGTCAGTGGTGTCAGCGGTATCACTTCCTCTCAGCGCCAAATACCCTGCAAGCATGTGCGGCAGCAGTACGGTAGTTTTTTGCAGACAGGGGTAGAACACCCCCTATTACCACGCTCGTACCGCACACCCCCTTCATGGCTCCCGCGACCTGCATTTTATTTTCCGGGGCTACACAAGATAGCCCACTCCGCACACAATGCAACACCCGATGGTTTAGACTTTCATACCCAAGTGCTTTCCCCGGGGTGTTTTGCCTCGTGTCGTATACGGGTACAATATGAATGTGCGCATCTCTCTCGTTCCCCCTCGGAGGAAAATACGCATTTCAATCGTCGTCCCTCGTCTAGAAAAGTGCAAAGTTTAGCGCAAAACACCGACAGACCCATTGTTCTAGGGAACCTGGCATCATTGTCCACCGTGACCGAAGTGTGTGCGGTCCATGCGGACCTTTTCCTTGTTGCCGCAGAAGGACACCTGGTAGATTAAATGTTAGTCTCGCGAATCCCGAATTGCGAACAAGATTCCGGCAAACCGTGCCTGACGCGTCTGTTTTCGGCGACCTCCTGTCCATCTACCATTTGGATCTTATCCCCTTGAGGGCTCCACCGACTTTTGGAGCCACTTTGGGGGCCCCACCTTTCTCGCCTGTTTTACCTCGCGAAGAGTGACATGGGTGTCTTCTCCTTCGAACTACTCGACAAGGGGGGTGCTGGGGTACGCGGGGACAGCTATGGTCTTGTTTGGATGCTTTGTAGATAGGAGTAGTTAGAGGGTAAGAGGTAGGGTTAGGATGCGGGAGGATACCGCAGCAAGGTTCAACAGCACAATTGCGCCGTGTCTATCTGTGCTTGGGTGGAAAGCGCCACTAGGGGCAAGCGCGGACAAGCTATGTCGCCCGCCGATGAAAGGAGACACAGGGCAACCTAGAGCTTGGGTCACAAGGTGTCGCGTTCCACCTAGACGAATACCTTGAAAACCTCCTTTTCGTGCCCCGTCTTGGACCCTCCCGCTCGTAGTCTATAGCCCCCATCACAGGCCCCTCGATGGGACCATTTGTTTGGGATTATAGAGAAGAGACGGCTCAGGTGGGAAGGCAGCTTTGCACTTGCTCCCAGGGCTGAAACTGTCTGCACCATCAGATCGGCAGGCGTCTTTCTCTCTTTTTCTTACTTTCAATAAATTTCACCAAATATTCTGTGCGTCCTGAAGCGGTGAAACAAGGAGCTGGAATACTACCCGGGTTTCATAGGAGATCACATACCCTGAAGTTTGGACGCATGTAATTGCGGAGCGCCTGCTACCGTCACTCCGGTGATGACACACAGCACACAGCGGTGATCCCTGATGACATTGCCTACAAGATGAACCGGCAGGGAACAGGTGCAAAACACCCCCTGAGTGCGGGGGAACCGTGCCTTGCTTTAGTGCACACGAACTCTTGCCCCCACCCTCCTGTCGTCCTCTCGTTTTTGCCAGGCGGTAGTTTTGAAATATACTTTTTCGTCATTACATGACAACATTTACTCTCTTTCGATGTTTCGAGAGAGCGCTGTTGGTTCATCGCCGGAGTCTAATGATTATCACCTCTCTACCATCTTCCCACCCCCCTCCTCATTTCCACCCGACTTGAGCAGGAACTTTGGTGAAGTCAGCGGTGTCAGTGCCATCAATCATATTCAGTACCAGACACCCTGCTAGTGCGGCGGCATTGCGGTTGTTGTGTGCATTCAGGGTTATCACACACGCTCAATACCACGCCCCCTGCATGTGTGGCCGCAGGCACGGTACGGAATTACTGCAAGTGCGCGACAGTAGTATCACACAACCTGGTTACCACACCTCCTTCGTGGCTCCCGCAATCTGCACTTCACCACCCGGGATCCTCAAGACAGCAACCCCCCACAGAATGCAACACCCGGTGATATATGTTTTTAGGGTTAAGGATTGGCCCCCCGCCCCCCAATGGGGCGGGCGGCCATAACGAGACGCATGGCGGTGAGGGTTTCGGAGGAAGTGAAGTATAAGAAAAAGGAAGACGACGGTACCCTATGACAGTCTATTGACTATTTTCTGAAGCTGTAAGGTTCAGTGTCCCGACCTAAATTCAACTTTGCCTGCGAGCAGGACCCTCTTATTCCTATTCCCCCATCCTTGCCCGACCGTGTTTCGAAAGCCGATCTCCATCTATGGCGCACGGCTCGCGACATCTCGTCTAGACAATGCCTTGATAGGGCATCCCAAATCATGGCCATTCGCCAAGTTTGATCGACTTCCGCGTGCAGTAGCGTACGTCACAAGTGTGCGCTGTTTCTCTCTCGTCTTCACTGGTTTGCCTTGTTGCTGTCCTCATCACTCTGTTTGGAAGACTCGAATCTTGTGTCAGCTTGTGTGGCAGGATTGTTGCTGTCCTCATCACTCTGTTTGGAAGACTCGAATCTTGTGTCAGCTTGTGTGGCAGGAATCAACAGACCGATGTCGCCCTACAGTACGGCGCACGTTTCGCGATATCTTGAGTATGCCTCGCCGCGAAAAGTTCCGTCGACTTCCGCGCGCAGTAGCACACGCCACACGATTGCGGCCATATGCGACCATGCGCGCTACGTAGTCTCTCATCTTACGCTGACCAGTTTGCCGTCCTCCTCTCTTCATCGCTCTTTATCGCTCTTTATCTCGTCCAGAGCAATTTTGGAAAAATCGAATCTCAGAGAGTCTGGTTGACAGCAACCAACAGACCGAAAACGCCCTACGGCGGTCGCCTCGCAATATCTTGAGGATGCCTCTGTAGGTATCGTGATTCGTGGTCCCTCGCCAAGTTTCATCACCCTCCGAGCGCAGTGACACACGCCACAAAAGTGTGCGACGATGTGCGCTCCTCTTGACATGTTCGCCGTCTCAATGTCTTCACCGCTTGTGTTTCTTGTCAATCCATTCGAAAAAAATCGAATTTCAGTGTCCGCTTCAGCAAACAATGGCATCATGTTCATTCATCGCAGTGGTGGTTTAGTCGTTGAAATGTGTGGGGGCTGAGTGAGTTGTCAAGGCGACCTATTGCCTACAAGTCATGATACGCCCAAAGCGCGCACGGTGTGTCGATGTGCAAGCATCCTGCAAAGGCCAGTAGTGTGCGACCATGTGCGTTCATGCGCACTCTGCATGGCTTGTTTTTTGTTGATTTCCGAAAAAAATTGAATCTCCAAGGGTCCTTGTAGCGTCATCACCCTGCATCATCAGCAGAGATATTTCCGGTAAACATTGCAAAACAAAATACAGCACGGGCAACGCCGCAGAAATCGGATGAGATTCATTCGCATTGATGCAGCAGAGATCGGATGAGATCCATCCGCATTGATTCCAGGTGTCCCAGCAGAACGCGATATCACACTCCATAAACTAAACGAACACTAGTTGTATGGTAACTATTGAACCAAAATATCACCACGCGGGGTGTGACATTGTGCAACCTACGGTCGATATGTTCAAAAATTCAGATTGTTACGGGCAGATGCCGTTGACCAAGGCGCCGCAATCGTGCACCTGCACAGTAGCGCAGCAGCAGCCAGAGGCGCTTGCCAGCATCTCAAGAACGAGGGTCTCGCTCGCCAATGAATGCATGTTCTTGTGTACATCGGTTCCTTCATTCGAAGTATCGATTGCTCGCGGGTGAAGGTGGTCTGATTTGAGCCGGGGGCCTCTATTGCTGCCCTATTGAAGCCCTGTTATTCCCCGCTTCTTGCGTCTCCAGTTGGTGTGCTCACGCGCTGCTGCTGTTGCTACATACATACGGTACGTGTGTAACTCCATGCTCTAAACCCCTGCTGTGCCCAACCGTTGGGTTTCAGGCAAGTTCATATCTACTTCTATGTGTGTGGACTGAGTGAGTTACTAACGAGACCTACAGTGGTGCCAATTGGACATACGGTGCCCCGATTTGCAATGCAGCCTACGCCAAGATTGCGCGACCATGTGCGATCATGCGCGCTGTTTCTCCCTCTGCACCGGCACACCATCTTCCTTTTGTCTCCTCCGAGCATTTGCTTTTCTTGGGCAAAGTTCGGACTACATTTTGAATCTTAGGGTCCACTGGCAGCAACCGCACCAGCCGATGTGACCGATTCATGAACGCCGATCTGTATTTGCACTTCAACACGTGTGCGCACTACGCGTACATGCGTGCAGGACGGGCAATCCATTCAGAGATCGAGAGTTGGGTTGTTGTTGTTGTTGTT